GGGCCGGGCCAGTTTATTTACCTGCTGACACGGCAAGTTCGGCCGATTGCGGCTCCCACTGACCGCGGTTCACTGTCCCAGGCCAATGGGGGCGGCAGGAAGCCGCGGCCAGCACATCCCTCGCCCGCGCCGCTTCTCGCCGCCCCCATTGGCCTGGGATGGCGAACCGCGGCCAGTGGGGGCCGCGATCGGCCAAACCTGCCGCGTCAGCAGGTAAATAAACTGGCCCGGCCTGGTGCTTACCCTGGCGAGCCGCGTGCCAAACATTGCCGACCCCTGGTCTAGACCATCCCGGATAGACATTTATCTAACCTACTCTTAAATATCTCCAGAGATGGAGATTCCACAACCTCCCTAGGCAATTTATTCCAGTGTTTAACCACCCTGACAGTTAGGAACTTTTTCCTAATGTCCAACCTAAACCTCCCTTGCTGCAGTTTAAGCCCATTGCTTCTTGTTCTATCCTTAGAGGCTAAGGTGAACAAGTTTTCTCCCTCTTCCTTATGACACCCTTTTAGATACCTGAAAACTGCTATCATGTCCCCTCTCAGTCTTCTCTTTTCCAAACTAAACAAACCCAATTCTTTCAGCCTTCCTTCATAGGTCATGTTCTCAAGACCTTTAATCATTCTTGTTGCTCTTCTCTGGACCCTCTCCAATTTCTCCACATCGTTCTTGAAATGCAGTGCCCAGAACTGGACACAATACTCCAGTTGAGGCCTAACCAGCACAGAGTAGTGCGGAAGAATGACTTCTCGTGTCTTGCTCACAACACACCTGTTAATGCATCCCAGAATCACGTTTGCTTTTTTTGCAACAGCATCACACTGTTGACTCATCACACTGTTGACACTATAACCCCTAGATCCCTTTCTGCCATACTCCTTCCTAGACAGTCTCTTCCCATTCTGTATGTGTGAAACTGATTGTTCCTTCCTAAGTGGAGCACTTTGCATTTGTCTTTGTTAAACTTCATCCTTTGTTAGATTGAAGAGCCCATTATTAAATATGTGTTCCTCACATAGGTACTTATAGACTGCAGTCAAGTCACCCCTTAATCTTCTGTTTTTTAAGGTAAATCAATTGAGTTCCTTGAGTCTATAAGGCAGGTTTTCTTATTCTTTAATCATTCTTGTGGCTCTTCTCTGACCCTCTCCAATATATACTGTGACAAAGCTCTGTCCTTGTGTCCTTGGGTCCCGCATTTTCTGGCAGATTTCACTAGCCTCAGAGGCTCACCATGACCCTCCACATAGCCCCCCTCTCTCTCTCTCTAGAGGCAAGGGTCACAGTCTACTGAGCCATTTTCATCATAAGCCAGCAAGGTAGGTGAGGAGAAGCTACCCTCCCTTGCACAGTCTCTGTTGTTTCCCAGTCTCAGTGATTAATCAGGGGGCAAAAGGGGGAGCCCAGGCCCACCCTCTACTCCAGGCTCCAGCCCAGAGACCCTAATAGTATCAGCTATGGTAGCTGACTTTTTAGAAAAAGGACACATACAATTCCCTGGGCCACTTCCCCACAGCAGCCCCCACTTCCTCAAGATCCACTTCACCCTTACCTCAGGGCCGCCTTCCTTGTGCCTGATATGGTTTGTACTGCTCCATCTCTCCAACAGCACAGCTTTCTCCTACAGCTCGACACACACCTCACTGACTAACTGGGAGGCTTTTAACTACTTCCAGCCAGCCCTTGATTGGCTTCAGGTGTCCCAATCAACCTAGCTATCTCCACTGCTTTCTAGAAGGATCTTAATTGAGCCAACGGTTGAGCAGTGAGCACCCCCTGGCACATTGGAATGTTGGCGCCTGTAGCTCCAGCCCCGGAGTTGGTGCCTATACAAGGATCCGCCTATTAACTTCTGAAGAGTTGCATGTGGCTCTGGAGCCACAGGTTGGCCACCCCTGCATTAGCCCTTTTGGCCACAGCATCACACTGGGAGCACATGCTCAGCTGATTATCCACCACAACCCACAAATCTTTTTCAAAGTCACTACTTCCCAGAGTAGAGTCCCTCATCCTGTGAGTATGGCTGATATTCTTTGTTCCTAGATGTATACTGTGACACTTTGTCTCATATTCTTCATAGAAATGTTGTTATGATATGATTATGGCATAACTATGATAGGTCAAGTGAGATATCATTGAATAAGTTATGATTTACTAAATATGATTATCCTAATTGTATGCATGTATCATTTTTGTGTCTGAAGTTAGGAATATTATCTATGCATCTATTACAAATGTGTTTGCACCTTGGGAACGCCCACTAGGCAGAATGCAATCTGTCTAGATGGCTGGCTGGGAAGGGCCATTAGGAAGAACAATAGGTCTTAGAAGATGCTTATCTCCCATCGGGGAGCCTTCCTGAGGATGCTACAAACAGCCTCCGAGTCATGGCTGTTATGGCCCTACAGAGACATGTGACCAAGTCACCTGGTATTGGACTCCATCATGGAATACTAGTGTTTTCTCACTGACCGAGCGTGGGAATCAAACTGGGAGACAAAAGGTTCCTGCCATATGCTAATACTATTTAAGGCAGGGGAGTGACATCATCGTGGTTCGTTCTTCACTGACTCTCCGCCCAAGAAAGAAGACTGCTGGAAACACATGAGAAACAAAAAATTGAACATGGGGAGAAGGGCTGAACCCAGGCTAGAGGGTTTTCTAGCCTGTGAAAGGAATACTTGGAGTTTTAAGCTGCAAGTGTAGCTTGCCCTCAAGAATCTCTGCAAACTGCCTAAAACAATATTTAGGGTGAGAATTTGCTACTTATGTCTAATTTCTTTAGTATATTAATCTTAGATTGCATTTTGTTTTATTTGCTAGGTAATCTGCTTTGATCTGTGGGCTATCCCATATAATCACTTAAAATCTATCTTTTGCAGTTAATAAACTTGTTTTTGTTGTGTCTAAAACCAGTGTGTGGAAATTTTAACTGGGGGTCAGAAAGCTGTTGCGTATCTTCCTCCACATTGAGGGAGGGGGCGAATTTCATGAGCTTACGCTGTACAGTTCCCTGTGCAATACAAGACGGTATAATGTTGGGTTTACATTCCAAAGGGGGTTGCCATTCCTATTCTCCTAGAAAGAACCTGGAATTCAACTCTTCTCCATGGGAACAGAGGGATGATCCCCCAGCAAGCATGGCCAGTCCCTGCCCTCTCTATGGAGATGGGGGTGCCTGGGGATCGACGCCCTGCACTCGGCCAGCTAGGAGGGTGGTGGCTGGGATCTGCCCTCCATGCCCCGGTCTGAACTAGTTCGTATTGAAGGAAGTCCAGAGGCAGCACCAGAGGTGAACTGGGAACAAGAGGAAGGAGCCCAGGGGTGGTCTGGTGTAGCAGAGAGCCTGGCAAAGCCCTACATGCTTTGGAGTGAAAGGAGAATTTGAAAGCATCTGGGGGTGCCAGGTGCAGAGGGCAAGTCAGGATGGCGTAGTGCATGGGAGCCGGGATGGGACATAGGTAGTGAGCAGAGCACTGGGCACTGTAGAGAAGCACATAATTCACAGGTGAGCCCCCAGGCCACAGGGAGCATGTGGGACACACATGGCAGTTGGAGTGTTCAGGCCAAGAAGAGCGCCCAGGGAGGCAGGATGGGTGTTCAAGGCAGACAGGGCATCACAGGAGTGGCATGCATGCAGAGGATCTGGCTTTCAATCACAAGTGCCCAGCCTTGCCCTGGCAGTGAGCTGCCGCCATCTCCTGTACAGAGGGGTATGGACTATAAACTGCTAAGTCATTGCAACCAGAGTAAGCTGTGTTGCTGGGCCGGGGCACACAGCCCTGCGTGAGACACCATGCTGGCCCATCCACACGCCATGCAGGTGTGCAGCTCGGAGAGGCACTTACCCAGGAGGACAACAGCCGGGGCAGTGCCCAGACAGGGCTGCTCCCGGTGGGGGTGTTATGGAGTGTGGGGGAGTCAGGGCCCTGCACCCCTCTTCCTAAGATTCACCGTGACTCTCAGCCAGCCAGTAAAACAGAAGGTTTATTAGATGACAGGAACACAGTCCCAAGCAGAGCGTGTAGGTACAACCAGAACCCCTCAATCAAGTCCTTCTGGGGGCTTTAGG